AGGCACTTCCGCGGCAATCTCTTCAATCGGAGGACCCTTCACGTCAATTCCCGACGCGAGAGGGGTAAACCGGCGCGTCCATAAGTGAAGCAGAGGGAGCCTGACCATGCGTCACACGTTTGACGAGTTGGGAGTGAGAACGTGTTGAGCAAACAGGAAAAAAAAGGCGGGGGGTGTACTAATTGAAGTTGGGTTTACAACCTGAAGGCTGGAAAAGTATTTCAGGAATTACCCCCACACCTTGTAAAACTTACCACTGGTATTACTAAGCACATAAGGTCACTCAGCCACCAAGCATGGGTAGGCAAAGGAGCACCCCTCCATCTTAGTAGGACTGCAAGGGAAACGAAAGACAGTGCGCAACACTGTGACGAGGTCAACCGTGCATCAGACTCCCCAGTGGTACCAAAAAGTGCAACTAATGTATTAGGATCCATGTGGTATCCAAGAATTAGGGACAAGGTTTGAAATATGTCTCTCCAAAACTCTGCAAGGCTAGGACATGTCCAGAACATATGGATGAGGGAAGGCTCCTCACACCCACGTTTATCACAGGAGGAGTCCGCATTCGGATAAATTTGAGATAATTTGACTTTGGAAATGTGGAACCTATGTACAACCTTAAATTGTAAAAGACAGTGGTGGGCACATAAGGAGAATTAACTAACTTGAGCATTAAGTCTCTGCAGACAATGACTAATTTAAATCTTGTTCCCAGGCCATTTTAATCGGACCTATTGAAGAACCTTTCATGCTCACCAGTTTGTCATATATGAGAAAAATAAACCCTTTATATGTTGGAACTAGAGTAAGGAGCATATCCCCTGAACTTTCAGCTGGTGCTACCAGAAAGTTTGGGTACTGAGATTGGAGAAAATGTCTGATCTGCAGATATCTGAAAAAAAATGTGTTTGTGGGAGATTAAAGTTTTCCGAAAGCTGAGCAAAGAGATGAAAAGTTATTATCAAAGAGCACATCACTGAAACATGTAATGCCCCTATCATGCCAATCTCCAAATATAGGATTGGATAATGATAGAACACAAAATTATTGAAGTTGTCTTCAGTTTGAATTTCTTTATTCCGCACCTAGTTTTGGTTTTAGTTTAATTTGAGCTCACAATAAAAACGCTCATCAGAACTGAACCACATGAAACACCCAGAGGCTCTTCGTGAAACACCTGTGTGGAAAATGAATTTTTTTTTTATTCCTAAAGCTCCGATTCATGCAGAAGAGAAAAAGTAAATAAAAAACATAAAATCCCATCATAAACCAGTCTGATGGTAACAAAGGTGGTGGGCGTATATCAGACATGTTGGACTCTGCAAATATTTGTATACATTTGTAGATGAGCACACTTTCAGTTCTTTATCAGCAT